GGTCTTCAACTCTTGACCAAAGCTGTTATCAATGCGTGATCCACCTTAAGATGTCTTAGCGTTGCTACCCCAGCAAAACTAAGTTGTTCAAGTATAGAAACAATTAGAGGACTGGGTTCTAGCATTGAATGACAGAAAGATGAAATTATGTTTTCAGTTTCCTGCAGTTATTCATAAATTAGTAACATTATATGTAGAAAATTGATTTACATATTCAGTAAATAATGGTAATGTGTAAAACTTACTACTTTTTCAATGAAGGCAGACCTATGTTTGTTTTTCTTGCACAACAACATTTTTAGTAATGGGAGCAAAGACAGAGAGAAATGAAGAACAAAGATGGATGCAAGTTTGAATGAAAACATGTGGCCTGGGATTAACATATTTATAGATAAACTTTGGTACGAGAGAGTAGCCTTGGATTCTTGAGAAATCACTATCTCTTGGTCTATGTGAATATCAGAAGGCATCTTTGATTGGGAGGAGAGAAATCTTGTTTGGAAGTATATGGGATGGCTTGAATGAGGAGAGAATCCAATGCTAGGCGTGAGTGAGAAGTCACTATCTCTTGGTCTACGTGAATGGAAAGGTCATTATCACTCGTAAAACATGGTGAAACATTGAATGACTGAAAATCTAATGTTACAATTATAAATAGTCATATTCATGTTCATTTTCTTCATTCAACCTTCTAAACTTGTTCCTTGTTCTTATGAACCTTCTTCTTCTAAACTTATTCATCATTCACTTTTTTTAATCTAAAAATGTCTTTAATCTATGTCATTGTTCACTTTGATGGTGCCATTAACCAATGTCCTAATGAAGGAGTCACATTCACCTCATTATAAGCCAAATTGGTACATCTAAAGAGAGGAGTAACTCTATAAAGGCTTAAGAAATTCATCCACACAAAACTCAATCGAGATGAAAATGAAAGGGTGACAACCATACATTTTTGCTACCCAATTAGACTTGACCCGGGAGTTAGTAACTACACATGTGTTGAGTTGAACGATGATGAAGACGTCAAGGCACTCTTCAACATCCACGATTCAAATCAACTTCAATCAGGTATATAATTATATATTACATTTGCTATAAACGTAACCCAGACGCCACAACTTTCACCTTCACCTTCACCTTACCAAACTTACGGAACCATAAATTCATCTTTTTTAACATATGATATGAATTCTGATCTTCAGTCCTACGCACAACTTTTAACTGGTCCATTCATGGACCTCAATGAAATACCTTCCCAACCATTTAAGCAAACCCTACCCTCTCAGCCTCTTGAAGAAACCTCTATTAAAAAACATGTTGTTGTGAGTCTTTCAATCAAAGTATTTGATCCTTTTAGCAAAGACGAAGATGAAATCCTATCTCAACAGCAGGATGATGAAAAAGACTCCCTCCCACTTCCAAATATTCCACCATTACAATCATTACCATTATACAACCCACCTCCATATTTTCTAGACTTTCTCAGTCAAATACAAGAACATGACTCTGAGTTTGTCCTTGATCATGAAATAGTAGTGTATCCACCTGGAACACTATTTGTTGGTCAATGCTTCCTAACAAAAAAATAAGTGCAAGATGCCATAAATAGATTTTACATTGTCAATCATTGCACTTACAAGGTGAAGATGTCAAGCACAACTAGGCTTGTCGTGGAATGTGTTCATAACAACTGTGCCTGAAGATGTCACGCTATATTGCACACCAAAGAGCAACACTGGGAAATAATGAAGCTTGAAAGGTGCCACACATGTGCTTTCCCACTCATTTCACAGGATCATAACAAGTTGGAATCACAAATGATTTCTTAAACCATTCGTGAAATTATTGAGACTGATCCATCCACACCTATCACAACCATCTTAGCTCACATAAAGTCCACAATGGGTTACACAATCAGCTATAGAAAGGGATGGTTAGGAAAATAACATGCCATTGAAAATATCTTCAAACATTGGGAGGAGTCATACCATAAGTTACCTAGACAGTTGCTTGCAATGCAATTGTATGTTCTAGGCTTTATCTGAAAATTGAGTACACAACTGGCATATAAGGGTTATTTTGGACCTTCAAGCCATGCATTGATGGTTTTGCCTTTTGCAAACCAATTGTTCAAGTAAATGGAACATTTTTGTATGGCAAATACAAAGGGACCTTATTAGTGGCAATTGCGCAAGACGACCACAACAACATAATTTCCATTACCTTTGCTGTAGTTGAAGGTGAAACCAACGATGCATGCTTCCTTTTTTTTTTTTAGAAACTTAAGGAGGGACGTAGCCCCGCAAGAGGGGTTGTGCCTCATTTCAGATCGTCACAAGGCCATAAGAAGTGCATACTCCAAAAATGGAAGTGATTGGACAGAAAAAAAAATTTGTCCATGTCTATTGCATTAGACATATTGCACAAAACTTCATGCGATGATTCAAAAATGCTGCATTGAAGAAAGATGTCATTAATATGGATAATTTTAATTTTTTACGTACTCTATATTATCATTAATATTTTATACAATTTCTTAACTAGTTATATTAATTTAATTTGTAATCTTTTTTCCAGCATATGCGATGACTAAACCGATATTGTTTTACTATTACAACATAGTAAAAGATAATAATCTTGAAGCTGTACAATAGTTAGACAACATCCCAAGAAAAAAATGGACACTGACATGGGACAACGGACAACACTGGGACACATGACAATAAACCTAGTGGAGTCAATCAATTCGATCTTGAAGAAAACTAGAAACCTACCAATTTGCTCTATAGTCATGGCAACATACACCCGTTGCGATAAGTTCTTCATTAAGAGAGGCAGGGAAGTAGATGCAAGGATTAATGCTGGACATATGTACTCGGAGGTTGCAACTAAAGCAATTCAAGATACACAGTCAAAGGTGAACACTCATAGAGTCATTATCTTTGACAGAAGAAGCACTAGATTTTTAGTCGAAGAAACGTAACATTTAACAGAAATTTGACCCGTAGGAAGATTTACAGTACGGTTAGATGAAATGTGGTGTGATTGTGGTAAGTTTCAAAAAGTTCACATTCCATGTTTACACACACACCACAATTTTGACATCTACATATCTCCCGTGTATATCTTACAACAAGTTTCTAAGATATACGAAGGTCAGTTTGGAGAACTCAGACACGAAGACTATTAGCCAACTTACACAGACCCAACTTTGTGTCCAAATCCAAAACTGAAAAGAATTTCAAAGGGTCGACCCAAGTCCAGTAGGATAAGAATAGAGATAGACATTAGAGAACAAAAGAGTCGGGCAAAAAATTATTTTTATTGTCACACCCCTCGTCATACAAGGAAAATATATCCAAATATCGCTCAAGCTTCTAGTTCCTGTTATTGATTTATGTTGTTATTATTATTTTAAAATTTTTTTAATGTCATTTTTAATTTAATGAATGTCATTGCAACTTTTAAATTTTTAGGATTTATAATTTATATTAAATATATAATTATATATATATCTATATAATATTATTTAATAATGTTTATTAATATTAATCATATTTTTTTAAATAAATAATTATGTATTAAATTTTAATAAAGATTAATATCTCAAAATAAATACATAAACTGGTTATTATTTAATACTTTTATTTATTTTATAAAAATATAAAATTAAATAATCAAAAATATAATTTCAGAATATAATATTAATATTATTTTAAAAAATCAAAATTATATTAAATAATATAATAAAAAAATAAAAATATTATTTATTATCTTAAATATGTAAAATAAATTTTAATAAACATGAAAATAAATATTATTATTATTTTTATTCGTTTTCAAATAATATAAAAATATAAACATAATTCAAATAATAAAACTTATTTTATTATATATAATTAACAAAATATTTATAAATATTTATTAGAATAACATATTGTAAATATTTATTTTAATAAAATATAAATATATTTAAATAATAATATTTATTTTATTATATAAAAATATAAAATAAAATTTAAAAACAAAAAAAAACTCAAGTCAGAATTCGGTTTCCTATGAACACAAGAACCAAATTCTGCACTGGCATTTTTATGCTAAAGTGAACAGGTTCATTTTAGTAAATATATTTTTACTGGGTCTATTTCTGTATTTTTTTATTTTTTAATAATTTTTTTAAAAAATTCACAATTTTTTTATTTCCCAATAAATGTTTTTATTTCTAGACAGAGGTATTTTTTTACTTTATAAATCATGTTGGAGACTATGTTCCTGTTCAGTTAGGTCCTGTATCAGAAATGTTGTTTAAAAAGTATTGTAATTTATTAGTTTTAATTGATACTACTGCATTCTATGAAAGAAGCAAATTCCCAGCACATTAATTTCATTGTCCACTTTATGATTGATTGGTATTACTTTAAGATTACTTATCATTTAATTATAATAAAAATTTTAATACTTTAAATAAGAATATTTTAGTAAAATTAATTTATGTTTTTATAGCATTAACAAAATTAATACATTTTAAAAATGTATGTACAGAGTAACATATAAGTAACATCTAATAGAAGAGGGAGGGAATAACAAATATATTAATTATAATAAAAATTTTAATACTTTAAATAAGAATATTTTAGTAAAATTAATTTATGTTTTTATAGTATTAACAAAATTAATACATTTTAAAAATGTATGTATTAGTACAGAGTAACATATAAGTAACATCTAATAGAAGAGGGAGGGAATAACAAATATACAAACATACTAAAAATTTTCAACATTAAAATATAAAACTCAAACATTATAAATTACTATAAAAAAGTCTTTTTCATGATGTGTAGTTATTTTCTTTTAGCAATTAAGTAAATGCATAAGTAATGAATTGGCAATATAACATTGATTACCTAACAAAACTCTATCCAAATGGAAATATGACCACAGACAATAAACTACAAAATGATCATATAGGCCTTGATAAGTAGAGAATGTATTACAGATGTTCTCAGTCATAATATAATTATTTTCAGTGAAAAAAAGGGCTGTGATATTGAAATACAGCTGATATTCTGGTACCTCAAACATTCTTCTTCCATTTCTCAATTTGCCTTTGAAGTATCACCTCACAACTCCCACCAACCCCAAGAGCATTCCTGGCTGCTTCTTTCATTTCTCTAGCTTTGACCCTCAAAGATTCATTGCTCATCATCTCTTTGATTCCCTTAGCAATTTTTTCCCCTTTCACAACCTCTTCTGCTCCCCAGCCCCACTCCTCAGGCCAAACCCCAACACCACTCATATTCACCACCTTTGAGGCTATCTTTTGATCCCCATTTTGAGCCCATGAAAGAATAGGGACTCCTTGCCACACAGCCTCCATAATTGAGTTCCACCCACCATGATTCACAAACCCCCCAATTGCATGGTGACCCAAAATCTCCATTTGATTCACAAATTCCTTCACAATCATACCCTTTTCCCTCACCTTATTCATCATCTCGCTCCCTAACACATCCTCCAAATCCTCCTCCTCCTCTCTATCAACTACCTTCAACTTCACCACCCACAAAAAACTATACCCACATTCTATTAATCCTAAAGCCATATCCTTTATTTGCTCCCTTCTTGTTGTAGTCCTATTCCCTAAACAAACATACACCACTGACCCTTTATGGTGTTCATCAAGCCACTTCATTATGGACCTCATGCAACCCTCTTTACCTTGATCTACCTTCTCAAACTCACAAGCCATTAAGGGACCAACATCATACACTGGGGGCAACCCTTTAACCACTTTTCCCTCGTTGAGAGCTGCCAGTGCCTCGGCTTCTATTTGTTCAAACGTGTTGATGAAAACTCCATTGAGCTTTGTGAGTTTGGGACTGTCCTCCATGAATATGTTCTCAAAGAGAGAGTTGGGTTGAATAAGCAAAGGAGGGATTGAGGATCTTGGTATTGGTGATGAAATCCCAGGGATGTTAACAACATCACCAATGAATGAAGAAGGGTTTGCACCAGGATTTGAAGCAGCAAGAACCGAAAGGTGTGCAAAAAAAGAGAACATTCTAGCCGGTGCAATGAAGTAAATGTAACTTGGACAAGAGAGTTTCTCAATGATTGGAACCAAAGGGGAAATTAAACTAACATCAAAGATGAAAGCCAAGAGGGTTGGTGTGAGTGAGGAGAGTATAGGAACTACAAGGTGTACAGAACGGCGAATGGTTTCATACTGAAGCCAGAAAGGGTCGTTGGTATTAACATTATTCGGATCATCCAAAGGGATTAGGTTTAAGTCTATTTGGGTTACTTGGTTTGGGAAAGAAGAACAAAAGCGAGAGATGAGGTTTGATTCAGCGTGAGAAACTGTGGGTTTGGGAGTGATGAGAGTGACTCTACAACCATGTTTGAGGAACAATGCTGCTATTCTAAGACATGGGTTAAGGTGGCCCATTCCAGCACTTGTTAAGAAAGCCAAATGAACAATGGGTTCGGAATCAGACATTAGTGTGTTGGATGTTAGGAAAGTGTTAATGGTAAATGTTGGTGATTGAAGGAGGAAATGGCTCTGATTTAGAGTGGGCTGTTTATGTACACTAAAATTGGAGATATCACTTGCGTTTATATGGTTGATGAGAAGTAAATTGTAGAAATCGTATGAATAATATATTCTTCTTAAGTATTTATTTTATTCATATTTTAGCAAATTTTTATTTTTAGGCCTTGAATTTTATTAATGTTAGCCTTTAAGATTAAATTTAAGCATTTATAGATAAAAAAAACTTTATAAAAAATACATAATTATTGTATTAAAATTATAAAAATACAATAAATATTTTTTAATAAAATTTTATTTTTATTAACTACTTATCTTCCGTATTTAACAAAAATTTTAAGTTTTTTTAAATGAATTTTTTTATAATATTTTGTTTTTGTTTTCAAGACAATAAATGTATATGATTTGTATTTAATATTTATTTAATAAAATAGAATGAAGATTATTATATTTGGTTTCAAACCATGTACAATAATCTGTCTCTGACCAAGGACCTTAATTGATGGTTTTGTTTTGTTTTGCATGAAAATGAGTTGCATTAATATTTATCAGTTAGCACTCCTTTTCACGATAGAACGGTTTAGTAATGTTGACAGACAATAATCCGCATCATCTGAAACCAGAGGGGGAGAGAGATTAAATAACACGTGTGTGATGTGTCGGTCTTGTGGATAAATTAATGGCACAACAGTTTCATTTCACAGGAGAGTGATTTTTCATCTCTTGAACAAGGATTTTTCATCATCGTTTATAGGATTTTTCTTGAAGTTTTCTTTTCTTTTCTTTTCTTTTCTCCCAATTCATTTCATCCACAAATCATTAATTGTGCACATCCTCAACATGTAACGATGAAGGTAAAGAGATAATTAAGAGTCATTTATGCTGATCAAATTTCGGAATGAGCCTGAGTAAGAACAACAATTAGCACGCAGAGGAGATCTAGCTTACTCAAAATTCTTAGAAGTTAAAAATACTTTTTGTATTCATGTTAAAAATATAAATTCATTTAATTTATATTGCTGAGATAATGACACGCGTGGGTTTATCATATTTTTAAAATAAATTTTACTATTTTACTGACACAAAATTTGAAGTTTACTTAAAATTTTTTTGAAAAAATGCTTATAACAATGAACCTGCATTAAAATTTAGAACAACGTTAACGAGGACGCATGGGGAAGAGGAGATTTCAATAAAATTTCATGTGAAATTCTGACAGATTCGCGCAGCTCCTATAGATTATGGAATTTTATTGAAATACTCTTCCCCATGCGTCCTCGTTAACGTTGTTCCAAATTTTAATTAATAAAATTAATAAAGCATAAGATGCAGGTTCATTGTTATAAGCATTGGTTATTATTTTAAGTAAACTTCAAATTATAATAAAAAATTATATTAAGAATATGATAAACCCACGCGTGTCATTATCTCAGCAATATAAATTAAATGAATTTATATTTTTAACATGAATACAAAAAGTATTTTTAACTTCTAAGAATTTTGAGTAAGCTAGATCTCCTCTGCGTGCTAATTGTTGTTCTTACTCAGGCTCATTCCGAAATTTGATCAGCATAAATGACTCTTAATTATCTCTTTACCTTCATCGTTACATGTTGAGGATGTGCACAATTAACGATTTGTGGATGAAATGAATTGGGAGAAAAGAAAATAAAAGAAAAGAAAAGAAAACTTCAAGAAAAATCCTATAAACGATGATGAAAAATCCTTGTTCATTTCATGCCTTGTCATCAGAACTTTGTTTTCTCATGCTTTATGTAGCAATAATAATTCCGAACCATTTTTTGGTGAATAAATGAACACTATTAATTTAGGGTCACAACTGATTTAAAGTAAAAATAATATTAAATAATTTTGACGAGAGAATTGTTTTTTGTTATCATTTTATTTTCTTTTTCCAAAGCTCTGTGGTCGGGCAACATAAATTTTGCCAATTATAGTATTTAAATAGCTAATTTTTAAATTTTTAAAAAATCTTTATTTTGATAATTTATAATTTTTTATTATTTTATCTTTGAATTTTTTAACCTAATACCAAAAGTTTCTAATGATAATTTTTAAACTTTATATTTTCATAACTTTTTAAAAATACTATATTTTAACAATCAATCATAAAATAGACAACGAAATTGTTAGACAATTTACTTTTTTCATCAAATGCAGTAGTATAAATTAAAAATTAAGAAATCACAAAACTTTTTAAATAGCATTTCTTGCAAATTAAGAACTTAATTACACATAATATTTTTAGTCCCAAAATTGTCCCCGGTAAACCAACTCATGTTAGCAAACAAAGTTCAGTGCATTTTCTTGTTTCCTATCCCATATATCATTATTATATATTATTATAAAATTAAGAGCATGTTTATTTTCAATAACTGTTTTTAATAATAAAATATAATAAAAATTTCTACTATATTAAATATCTGCTCCTGTATTTTATTTCCGAGAATATATACAAATGCTCCACCTCTCTTTTTTTCAATTTTTTGTTCATCTTTAGCATTATTATTGCATTCGCATACGTTACTAGCAAATTAGTTTTATTTCTATGTTAAAGTGGTCTTATAAAATTTTCTAAGTTAATCATGTTATTGAACTTCCAACACCCAAGAACAGATAGAAATAGACAGGTTCAGGTGGAACCTTTGTTGTACAACGACATGAGGAGCCTTTAATAAATTTATCAGGTAAAGTTGTTTTGTTATCTGAATTTGGGCTTTTTTATTTTAATATTGTAAATTTAAAAACTATTTATTAAAATATATTAAGTTTGAAACTATTTCTTTGTCTGGGGTGACTTTGCCAATGTGGCAAAGGGTTTCGCAAAAGCGGGTGGCGAAACATGATCAAGTTTCGCCAAAAGAAGAGCGAAAATAGGCCACGACGTCACGTGTCTTGTTCTGATTAATTTCACAAAGGTGATGGCGAAATTAAAAAATATTTTCGCTAGAAGATTGGCGAAACTTGTGGGCACTGACACGTGTTGAAATCTGTATAATTGCACAATATGAATGGCGAAGGGTTTCGCAAAAGCGGGTGGCGAAACATGATCAAGTTTCGCCAAAAGAAGAGCGAAAATAGGCCACGACGTCACGTGTCTTGTTCTGATTAATTTCGCAAAGGTGATGGCGAAATTAAAAAATATTTTCGCTAGAAGATTGGCGAAACTTGTGGGCACTGACACGTGTTGAAATCTGTATAATTGCGCAGTATGAATGGCGAAACCTTTTTACTATTTTGCCAGCTAAGTTGTGAAACAGGTATGGCCCATGCCCACACCTTCGCAGATAATATGGCGAAAGTTCATCCTATATATACCTCCCGCCGAGCCTCTAATTTTTCACTGAAGAAGAAGAACTTGAAAGAAATTCAGGTCAGTATGATTTAATAAATTTATGAATATTTATTTTTATTTAAATTTAAATAATGAATTTAGTTAGTTATAATAAAATAAATTATTGAGTATATAAATAAGCATTGTATTTTTTAATTTTGTTCTCCTAAAAATTAAATATTAATTAAAGTTTATTTGTAAAAATGCAGGATGAGTGAAATTGTTATTATTATGTATTGGAATGGTAGAATCTATTAAGGAAATGAAGGAGTGAGTTTTGAAGGAAATAAGAAAGTAATTAAAATAAACCGAGGAGTGAGTTTTGAAAGTTTGAAAAGAAAAATTCATTTGAAACTTCATCTCAATCAGAATCAAGTTATTTCTAAATTAATTTCTCGTTTTGTAATTGATGAAAATATTAGACAGTATACAGCTTTGGAAATATGTGACGATGAAGATATTGATTGCATGATAAGTGCATTTCAACAAGAATCTAGTAGAAATGTTATTGAGTTATATGTAGATATTGCTGTTGGTGGAAGTTCATCTGTGCCCTTGCAAATGATGAATTTAAATTTATCACTTGCATAACAAAACGATGGAACTAATGTCAATCGTCATTATAGTGCAGGTAAAAATAATTATGTTGTTATATATTTTAGTAATATATTTAATTGTTGAAATTAAAAATGATAAATTTGTTGCAATAAAGGAGTTAGAAATGATGTTGATGAGGATAATAAAGACTCAGGTTATGAGAGTTACAATGATGAAGATGATGAAGCAGAATTTTCGTTAGGCAGTTCTTCTACTGATGTTGAAGGCGAGTTTCAGTCCAACTTAAATATACAAGTAACCGAAAATGTAGGAGGTAATGTAAAGTAATTTTAAAAATCAGTTATTTATAGTTATTTATTTAAATAGTAATGCTTAAGATTTATGGCAAATATAATGGAGGAGATACTATAAGTCCTTTCTGGAATGATACTCCACAGTATAAGTATATTAATTGGGAATATCCTGATCAAGAAATGAATGAAGAAAATTAGCAAGAAGTGAATTCATGGGTTCAAGGAGATCCATTATTCAATGACTTGTTATTTGACAGTAAAGAAGATGTAAAGAATGCATTAAAATATTACTCAATGAAGATTCATCAAAGTTATTTTGTGGCCGAATCTAAACCAACATGTTTGTATGTTAAATGCTTAAACCATAGCAGTGGTTGTCCATGGAGAATGAGGGCTGCATTGTTAAAGAATTCAAACAAGTGGAAAATTACTAGGTGGGGTGGTTCACACACATGTGTCAATATGAGAATTTCTCAAGATCATCAAAAGTTAGATTCTGATTTAATTTGTTCATGCATACTTGGTAAGACAACATTAAATTTTTGTTTTTACATTTTACATTTTTATCCTTATTAAGTAGACAAATTTTGGTTTTCTGTAGGAATGGTGAACGAAGAACCGTTCGTACATATATCATTGATACAAGAGCGAATCTGTGCTCAGTTTGGATACAAAATTTCATATAAAAAAGCTTGGAAGGCAAAGCAAAAAGCCATTATTAAAGTATTTGGTGATTGGGATGAATCATATGCTATGTTGCCACATTGGTTAGAATACATGCAATTACATGCTCCTGGATATGTTTATAAAATTGAAACAAAAGAGTATGTGGTTGGTCATCAAGTGGATAACAGGTTTAAAGTATTTGAACGGTTATTCTGGTCATTCAAACAATGTCATGAAGCTTTTAAATTCTGCAAACCTATATTACAAGTGGATGAGACGTTCTTATACGGTAAATATCGTCATACATTGCTCATTGCAACAACTCAAGATGGAAATAATTGTGTCCTTCTAATAGCTTTTGCAATTGTTGAAGGAGAAACCTTGTAAGCATGGGAATGGTTCTTGGCATTGATTCGTTTACATGTTACAAATAGATTGGGAATTTGTTTGATATCAGATAGGCATCAAAGTATCAAGGGGGCTGTGTCAAATCCACACATTGGGTGGCAACCTCCAAATGCGTATCTGATAACTACTCGGCAAGTGCACCGAATCGTTTTAAGTAAATACCACGGTAAGTGGGTATCGTCCCACAAGGATTGACTTATCAAACAATACTTCACTAATCAAATTTCTAGTTAGACAATATCAACTATTTGGATCGAAGAAAGCTCTACAATTGAAATTAAAACAATATTTCACTAATCAAATTAAAACATAATGCCGAAAGTGAGTTAGACATTAATTTGGGAATATCCAAAATGCATACTTGATTGTAAAATGAATACAACTTGTGAATTTTTGCTGACAGCACAAAATTGGTTTGAAAAATTGGTCAAGGCATGTAATTATCTTTTTGCGTTACCCTGATATTTGATAAGAGTGTGCACTCTGAAATCCTACTATTAGATCTTGCATGTTTTGACTAAGTTGTGCAATTGGGTGTTGGTATTTGAATGTGAATGATATTATTAGCAGATTGCATGATGTGAAGTATTAGAAAATTTAAATTTCTGCAAACTGCTTGATTGAACTTTCTGCAGTATAGGATTATTCTATGGTTCTAAAATTTTAAACTGACAATTACTCCTTTCTTGCAGAAAATTACAAAATGGTTAGGACTTCATTCAATACACTTGTGGGTCCTCCTAAGAAGAAGCAAGCTGCATCTTCTACCACTCCTAAGAAGAAGCGAGCTGCATCTTCCACAACTCCAACAAGAAGATCCAGTAAAAATCTCCAAGCTGCAGCATTAAAGAGGGCTAGAACTAATGGTGTCTCAAGTTCCTCACCTATTCAGATCTCTGAACCCTCACCTTCTCCTTCACCTCAGACAAGGTCATCTGCACCTGCATCTGAACCTTCACCTTCACCATCACCTCCACCAAGAATAGTTGCACCCTCAGGATCTTCACCACCTGCCACACATGATCCAAGATTCAGAAGTTTGGCTCCTGAAAACTTTTTCAGAGCCAATATTCTAAGAAGAAAAATTGTTCCTGACAGAGCATTCCAAATAGCTGGGAACAATTACCCTGAATTCAAGGAGAAAATCCAGAGAAGAGGCTGGGAATTCTTCTATGCAACAGCTGGCCTGGATTGGAGGGAAATTACTCAGGAATTCTATGCCAATGCCATGCGATTTAAAGGAAAAGGAATCCCTAAGTTCAGCTCCATGGTCAAAGGCATGAGGATTGACTTCTCTCCAGCAAACATCAACAGGGTGCTGGAAATTAATTCTGCACAACATGTTGCACAACTGGACTTCAAAACATTTAAGGAAAGTCCAGATATTGATTTTGTGCAAATTCTAGAAAGGATTGGAAAACCAGTCTAAGAAGCCAAAGCTCATTGTCACCAAAAATCTTCTGCCCTTTGCCAAAGTATGGAGCATGTTTATCTTAAATTTTTTCATGCATGTCAAACATAGCTCCACACTAGCTGTCAAGAGGGCTGCTCTGCTTTTTGCCATAGTCTCCGACATCTACATAGATGTGGGAGAAGTAATAAGTGAATGTATTTTGGGAATACTGAAGACAAAAAGGAATTCATTAGCCTTCCCTTCAGTAATTACATTACTTTGTGAAGACGCAGGAGTAGAGTTTGGTGATTACCAAGAGAAAATCAGAGCTGCACCATCCATTTCTGCAGCTCTGATAAAAGAGATTTATGCAACTGTTTCCTGCACCCTGCAGCCCCAATTCCTTCACAATTCAAGAAAGAGAAACTGATGATGATGAAGGCCACTCTGAAGTAGCTAGCTGAAGGGCAGAATCAATTGGCTGAAAGGCAGACTGAGCTGCACAATAGCCTTAAAGCTGGAGTTATGTTAATGGAATGTATTATGCTGAATATTGGTCAGAAATTGGGAATGACCAAAGATGAAATGTATCATACTCCAGACTTGGTAGAGAATGCCCAGTGCCTTCGTTCTTCTATTTTCAAGAATATGCCAATATACAGAACTCACTTTCCTCAGCCACCATTTGAAGAGGTAGTGGAAGAAGAAGAAGAAGAAGAAGGTTCTGAAGAGGAAAGCTCAGAGGAAGAAGATGCAGCAGAAGACTAGTTTAGGAATTTATTTTCTATTATTAGGAGTTTGTAAATTTCTGGTAGTTTTAAACTTTTTGGGTTGTAATCACTAATTGGTACAATTTGGGTTAAATTTCACACACTTGTTCTGCATTTATATTAGTTTTCTAACTAATTACCTTCCTCTTGCTGTAAATTAATAGAATTCTAGTGTTTTTGTGTAGAGAATGTCACACACACAACACTCACACACATTGGATGGTGACTCTTGCACAAGCTTCCATGAAAGGGGGGTTTCATTCTCTACCTCTTATTCATGTGTTAGCCTCACATTACACTGAATTGTTTTTGAAAAACACTAAATACTAGAATAAATAACAAACTGTTCGCTGTGAATTCTATGTGAATTTTTTTTAAGTTGTTTTTCCCATTCTCAAAATGAAATTACACTTGTGTTTTCAAAATGAGGCAGTCTTGCCACTAGGTGCATATATTTCTGAAAAGTGCATTGTGTTTTCATTAATCCACATGATCACTTATAAATACCTAGTGAGATTTGAACTGTCTAATTCTTTTTCTTGTGTGATTAATCATATTTGGCTGCATTTTCTAGAACTTGCCCCTGTTCTTAATTGAATATGCATGTTATAGTTTTCACTCGCATGATTGAGGCCATGATTGATTTCCTTAGTTAGCCAAAAATGCCTTCCCTTATGATTATTTATCTTAGTTCACCCCTTTGAGCTTAATATCCCTTTTCTTGAAATTACCTCACTATAAGCCTTGCTGAAAAACCAATTTTACCATTCAAAGGAAAAGAGACATAGTGAGTTTAATCAAGAACGAGTTTTAAAACTAAGTTTGGGGTGGCATCCACATTTTCATTGCTTGAGGACAAGCAAGGTTCTAAGTTTAGGGTGGGGAATAGCAAGCTATCTAAGTTTGAGTTCAAAAAGTCAGAAAGAAAGAATAAAAGTGCTGCAGAAAAATGAAAAATGTATGCAGCAAAACTGTGGAAAGAGTAAGTTGGAAAGAGCAAAATGGAGATCAAAAAGAAGAAATTTGCAGTAAACTATTGCAGAGAAAAAGAAAAAGAAATTCAAGGAAAAGAAAAAGAGTAAATGGAAGCAAGAGAAGAAAAAGGAAAATGAAAATTTTGCTGCACAAAAACAATTTGTTTGCTGCATAATTGAGGGATTTAATGTGAATGAATGTTAAACTATACTAGTTTTAAAGTCATTCACTCAAAATGCCTCTGATCTTTTTGAAATTGCAAATTGTTTCTTATTTTGTTCAGTATCTACCTTAACCTAAGCCCTGCTATAACCTGTAAAAAGCCCTCTGGATGTGTGATTAACTATATTAAGTAGAGGAGATGGAGAAATTGGGCAAGCATATGGTAGAGTGCAGCTGAATTGATGATTAAAGAGAGAAAACAGTACCTAAACACTGTCCAGTGAGAAGTGATCATGATTTTTAATGTTTCTCACATGAACTTGGCTGATATGTATTCACTTAGATAGCAATTATTGCTTAAAACTTGAGGAATGCATTGTGATTGCCATGCTGAGTAATTCGAAGAACATCTTAAATGAAAACTATGTAGAAAACTCAGAATTACAAATTGGAAAATTCTGATATAGCAGTTTGTAAATTGGTTTTTAAAAATTGGAAGAATTACCCTTGCTTTAGTTTGATTTACTTGAGGACAAGCAAAAATTCAAGTTTAGGGTAGTGATGAATCTATATTTTAACTGATATTTTAGCATAATTCTAACACATTTGATAAGAAAAATATATAAAGACAGCAGAAAAACTCAGAAAAAGAGAAGGAATTGAAGTTTTGTTTAAATTTGTAGTTATTTTAGCAATTGTGAAATTTTTGCTTAGGAATTAAGTTTTTAATCTTGTTTTTGAAGGAATAAATTGAGCAAGGATCATATCCATAGAGGTTTGATGACAAAGAAGAGGAAAGAAGCAAGTCTGGACTGCAAAAAATACAAGAATAAGAAATTGCAGACTGGGCGTGATCACTATTGCCAGTGAAAGTGATCACTTCAGAGCTTAAAGAAGAAGTGAAGCCTGGGCGTTACCACTTTTATCATTAAAAGTGATAGTTCCAGAGAGGCAAAATATCAGGAAAGCTCTGCATAACCACTATTGTCATCAAAAGTGATCGTTCCAAAGAGTCTTCAACTTGGCGAGTTGCGCGTAGTCACTTTTATCAGCAATAGTGATAACGCGCAACTACCTTGGCTCTGCGTTGTCACTTTTATCATCAAGAGTGATAGTTCCAGAGAGCTCTCAATATCAGGAAGTTGAGCGTGGCCACTATTTCTGAGAAAAGTGTTAACGCGCAACCAAAAACTCTCTGCGTAACTACTATTTCTCATAAAAGTGATGACGTGAAAATCTGGGAAATTCTATAAATACCAGAAACGATCCAGAAAAAAGGGGATTCTGTTCATTTTCAGTTTTTTTAGTTAGATTCTTGTTGGAGGAAGTGAGAGAGGGGAGTGGGGATTCGAATTTCGGAGCTTCACGAAGAGGAATTGGAGTGGAGCAAGCTTCCATGGTGATTCTTATTTTCTTCTTCTCTTTCTTTTCTTTTCTCTGCTGCCATGGCTGTGTAATTTGTTCATAGTTAGGGATTGTAGATCTGAAATGAATGTGTTGAATTGATTTTGGATCTGGATTTCAAGCTTTGGAATAGATTGAGTGATTAATTCTGCACTTTATGTAGGAATTGAATGGAAATTTGATTAAATAATTTTAGAGGAACTCTTGTCAATGGAAATTGAATTTGTTCTTTAGATCTGAACCAATCACCAAGATTATAGTTTTCTTAGGGATAAGAAACTTTGATCTTGCAATCTTTTGGTTTCTTATACTTAAATCAATGTTGAATTAAATCAGATCTAAGGAATTAGAATGTTTTAATTAAATGTTAGGTTCACTGAGTTAAGGAATTAACCTCTGAACAATAGAACGTGAAACTGATTGTCTTTCTTTCCAAATGCTTGTTAATTCAGAACTTTATTGATTAAACATTGGAGTTTTGGTGAAGCAATTCCCTAGCTATGGTTTCTTCCTCTGTTATCACCTAATTGTTTGTTCGTTGTTCTATTTTCTGCAAGTTCATTTTACTTTTAATTGTTCTAGTTTGTTGTTATTACATGTTACTACTCTCCTTCCAATTTTGAAAAAGCTTAAATGGTTATAATTCTATGAAGTGGTATTTGAAACCTAAATTCCCTATGGAGACGATATTTAGATCTTAAATTTACTCATTACTTGCTGCAATCCTAGTGCACTTGCTAGTGTTAGATTGCGAACAACAACTATATCTCAACACAAATATAGATGAAGCACTAAATCAATTCACATATCACACAAAATTCAAGAAATATTCCTAAACCTTGAAATTCATGTAGTTCATCTTTTGAGCTAATTCATACACAATTTTTCCAAATCATATAAGAACCCTAATCCACTCATGAACAAAAACTCATGATTCTTGCATATATAATCGAAAGACGAATAATTAATCCAAGAAATCCAATCTCAATACACCCATCTCAGACCTAATCCTTTCCCCTAGCTATGGAGTTTAGCAACTCATTCTATGAAGAACAAAGAAGAAAATTGTAGGAAATTCCATAAAGAACCAAGAATTAGAAAGATGAATCTTCAATCTCTCCTCTTCCTCTTGTTCCCAAGTTGTCTCATAGCTCCAAGCTCTTTTCCTCCGTTTTCTCTTGAGTTCGCCCTTGCTTCAATCTCCCTTAATCCTTTTCTTTCCTTCTATTTATATGAAAATTTACTTGACAACATTCGTGGGCGCCTAGGCGTTGCGATTTGGGCGCTTGGGCTGCAGGTCACCGGAGAGCACAGCACGCCATGGGCGCTTAGGCGTTACGATTTGGGTGCCTAGGCTGCAGGTTACCTGAGAGCAAAATAAAACCAGTAAATTTTGCCTGGGCGATGGAGATTAGCGCCTGAGCGCTCATAATTCCAACAAAACATTTAGAAAATGCAATAACATAAACAACTAATGAAAACAAAGAAAAAGACTACTCAAAATAACTTTTCAAAGGGTTTTGGATGTCTTTATACTCTAAAAATCTCAATAAATTGATGGAACATCAGTATCATGTATATTGTATTCGTCATATTGCCAGCAACTTTAATCACCGGTTTAAAAATATAGGATTGAAAAAAGACTTCATCAAAATGGGTATGTATTGTTTTGTTTTACGTAATTAATCGTCGTGTTACATTTATTTCACATGGTTTTAATGTTGGTTATGTTTTATATGTAGCCTACACACCATCGAGAGTCATATTTGAGCAGAAGTTAACTAGATTTTGTAATGAATCTGAAGATATACAAAGATGGATTGACTGCATATCAAAAGAGAAATGGGCATTATCTTATGATGATGAAGGACGATGTTATGGACACATGACCACAAATCTTTCAGAAGCAGTCAATAAAGTATTGAAAGGTTCTAGAAACCTGCCCATTACTGCACTAGTTAAAGCCACGTTTGGACGATTGGTTGAATATTTTGTGAAGCGTGGAGAAGAGGCCATGTATGAGTTTCATAATGGAATCATCTTTTGTCGTAAAGTCATGTTGCAAATTCAAAAAAATCAAGAAGAAGCTTCACACACCAAGTTCGTCGATATGACATTCAAAGAAAAAGTTTTGAGGTTGAAGAAGCATTTAATCCAATAACTCAAAGGGGTGGATATAAATGGACAGTTATATTGGATAAGAGATATTGTGAATGTAGAAGATTCCAGTGTTACCGATTTCCTTGTTCGCACGTGATAGCGGCCTGTATAGCTGTGAGTATTGATTTTTGGCAATATGTTGATCCAGTGTATTCCCTACAATATGTTGTAAATGCGTACTCGCCACAGTGGTTCCCCTTTGGAAATGAATGCAACATTGTTACAAATAGCGAATGGAAGTTGGTGCCTGATGTCGACAGAGCAAGAGGTAAGGGCCGACCAAAGTCAACTCGTATTAGAAATGAAATGGACTGGGTTGAGTCACAAACAAGACAAAGGTGTTCAAATTGTAACGAAGTAGGTCATAATCAACGCCATTGTCCTCAACAAAACAATGTCCATTAAATATGTTGGGAACTTGTACTTTGAATTTTAAATGCATACAAGCTGCGTTCTATCATAATGTTTTAATGTTTATTTCGAATGTAATTTATCGTAATTTTCAGTAGATATGCATAATTATCAAAATCTTATATCAATGAAAAGAGGATATAAGTTAATAACTACAGTAAATTCCTTACAAGTCAGCAACATATAAAATTCTGAAGAGTAATAGAAATACAAAATATAAACATGTCATCCCTGGTCCCCCCTAAGTGCCTGATGATCATGATCCTGTGGAGTCAAGATACATTGTCTCTGTCTATCTCTAGCTCCTCGATGGGGTTTCGACAAACCTCTCCTAAATCAGCTGCCGCACCAAACTCTGCATTAAGATCAATACCTGACTCTATAGGATGCATGAATGATGGTATTGGTTCAGCTTGGACATATGGAGTAGTGGGAGTCAAAAGAGAATAGTGCTCATGAGGAGGTGTCATAAAAAAATCAGGTCGTGGGCTGTAATCTTCTGATCCAGTAAATGGTGAAGATGGGGGCTGTGACGCCTGCTGGGTACCCTGTGATGAATGGAAATAAGTGGAGCCAGTCAGCAAATGAGTTGGCTGAAAGGGAAACTGTGATGGTACAGGGAAGACACCATCAGGTCGCTCTAGCATAGGCGAGACAACCCACTCTGCTGCCTGTACTTGTCTTCGTCGATGTCCCAAACCCCTTCCTTCTCTTCATTGTCATGGCTGGTCTATATGTAACTCTGGTTTGACAGGATTACCAATTTGTACAGGAGGATCTGAAGATGACACAGGCTCTAAAATGCGATCTTGCTCTTTCTTAAGTGATAGGAGCATCTCAGACAAGTCCTTTAATTCATGAAAGGTAAAGCAATCTTGTCCATCAGTGCTTAAGTAGTGCAATCTCTCCATCGCATTACCCTAAAATGATAAAAATGTTTCCTTTTAAATGTGATAAAATTATGGCACATAATTGTGAAAAAAGTGAAATCTATTTTCAACATACCGATAAAGCTGATATAGCTGCATCCCTGGTCATCCAACGACGAGTGTGACTAACATACCATCGCATGTATTATGAATTTGAACTCAGTAAACCATACTGAAGATCATTAGTCATCACCCAAAGTCGCCTGCTCTCCCAAATCTCTAACATAGCACTAAACTTCGATGACCAATCTTCTCCAGTCTTACCTCTAAGGGTGTCATGTAGCTGGTCAGGCTGGCAAGGAGATCTTGGTATGTGCTGCACCATACCAAACTGACGCATTACTCGATCAGGTTGATGCCACTCACATACCTGAAAACATATCAGTGGCACCACCGCCCTCCATAACTCCATACCATCTCTACAGATAGGTGGAAGCATGTTGATGAGTTCCATATTGTATGACACCCATACAATCTGTATCATGACATAAAAATATGGTTAATAACGAATCAAAGTTCCATTTTGTAATTAAAACTAAGGTATAATAGTAGACTATAATACCTCATCACATGCTAGACGATCAAAAATATATCTATAGTACTGCACATCTTTCTTCCCCTTTCTTATACCCTGCGATAACCATCTGCAAATAATTTTGACCATAAAACTAATAATTCAAACAAATAACATTATACATACAGTTTACAATTTGCAGAAAAAACTGATAATAACAACATACCTAACACCGTAGGGAAGATGGAGACGCGTATAGAAGGGATTCATAGGTGCTATTTGGGGAAATCTATTCCAAGCCCACATCACAATCAACGCAGCAAGTCCTCCAATAGCGACACGATCAATGTTGGTGGCCATGCATAGCTCTCGGTATAAATAACTTAGAACTGCAGAACCCCAACTATATTGACCGGTCAACTCAAAATCTTCAAGCAAAGGCAAGTATCTCACAGAAACCCTATTGTTGGAGTGATCAGGAAGCATGAACCTTTCAATAAGCCTCAATATATATGCTCTGGCAAATCGAGTAATCTGCAGTGGAGACTGATTATGCATGGCAATATGAGTGAAGTGCTCATCCAACCAATTCATCTTCAAGAAACTCCCTACAAAATGCTCAGGTCCTGGTCTGATACCTAGGGTGTCTTCCACAATCTGCGCCCAATCACCTCCAGTGGGTGCTATAACTGCTCTCCCATCTATGCGTAATCCTAAGAGGATAGCAACATCCTGAAGAGTAATAGTACACTCTCCAGGGGGCATGTGGAATGTGTGCGTCTCGGGCCTCCACCTCTCTATTAAAGCAATAATCAATCCCACATCCAGGGGAAACTGGGACAAGTTTGTCACTCCAATAAAACCTGCGAACTCCAGATGCGAAATAATTTCTTCTGGAACACCCTCTATTCCACCAGGAATATTCTGACTCTTCCTGACTCTCAATATCGGGTGATCACATCCATCCCATATATGTTCAGAAACATGAATACTCTGAAACTGAAGGAGTGATGGATCTTCTGGCCCGGGATTAATAATCTTACTTTGTCGTGAAGATGATGCCATCTATTCAACAAAATTACTATAACTAATAAAATTCCATTCTATAATAGTTAAACACTTTCATACCTAAATACTATCACATTGTTATGACATGAATATATATTCAATGAAATATATTCTAAACATTAATATCAGATATACTCATCAATATCAATCTCACCATAAATTATAATTTACGTAATATCATTTTTATATTAAAATTAAATATTCTTATTTACATTTTTATACATATTACTAACGATATACAAAAGTTTAATTATTATAATTATTTTTCATATTAAAATATTCTTACTACAATTTATATAAATGTAGTTACGTTATTTAAATAAAATAACTCTTATTATAAAAATAAATTTAATTTAATTTTTTAAATTTTTATGGATTCAATTTAAATTTACATAAATTACATACATTTTACAATTATGCAAAATATATTACGTTTTTAAAATTAAATAATATTTTATCTACATACAATATTTTTTCTATAGTACTGAACATATAAATTTATAGTTTTTAAATTTTATTTAAATTAATATAGCTGTAAAAATTATGTATTACAATAAAACTGAATATAAATAATTAATAAAATAATTTATTTAACAAATATAATTATTTATTATTTTTTTACAATTATATAACAAATATAATATATATAAAATTAATAATATTATGCTAATATATTATTTATACAACATACAACAACAATATTTTTACAGTTACAATTACAGTTAAATATAAATAATTTATTCATCCTTTTATTTATTATTTTTTTTTACAATTATATAACAAATATAATATATTTAACATTAATAATATTATGCTAATATATTATTTATAAAATAGAACAACAATATTTTTATAATTACAGTTAATTATAATTTTACAGTTTAATTTACTACTCTACAACTACAACAATATTCTTTATACAACATATTAATACCTACAAATAATATAATAATATTTAAATTTGTAAACAATTTTTTCTAACCTCAATAAACTTTTAGCCCAATTATTTTAGTACTCACCACTCACTTAATCACCTGCAAAAAAATTATAAACATTTAAAATTTAATTTTTATCATTTTTCATATATTTTAAATAATACAAATCAATTTACATTATAAAATATGAATATACAAATACATCTATACCTCTAAATCACGTGCAAATTTTGAAAATTTTGAGGCTAAAAATGCAATTTGCAAATGGAATTCTTGGACTAGAGAACGGCGACCACGAACACGAAAGATGCAAAACGAAAATGAGAATGAATGAGGGGAAGGGGAAGAAGGTCAGGGACGGTCACTGTAGCTTGCCACGTGTCAACAATTCATTGGTTTCGCCACTGCTATGGCGAAACACTCCTTCGCCATAATATATGCGAAATACATAGGATTATGCCACGTGTCCTAAAAACTCCCTAGCCGTTGATTATGTGATTTCTTTTTTATATATATTTTTTACTTGGCGACTTTCGCAATTTCATTGGCGAAACTCTGCCCGCTACTGCCACATGTCATTTTCCAATTGTTTTCGCACTAGTGGTGGCGAAACATTGTCGTCTTTTCGTCAGTCAAATAGCGAAACTATTCATAATTTAACACGTGGTTTCAACTTTTGTTTTTTGCTTTTTTTTCTGGCGAAATAATATATAAAATATTTATAAAATAATTACTTTTGCCACTCATTTTGACGAAACCTTTTACCACGTTGGCACCTCACCCCAGACAGGGAAATAGTTTCAAACTTAATATATTTTGATAAATAGTTTTTAAATTTACAATATTAAAATAAAAAACCCCTGAATTTGTATCGAAGCTCTGACTATCTAATTTATGTGACAATTCATTTCAACTCTTCCCTCACCAACCCTAACCTAATCAGCCAAATTAGTGCCTTTTATTGCCTTTAAAGCACAAATTTTTAATCTTTTATTTATTTAATAACTAAATATATTTATAAGAATAAAGAATAGAAGATTTTATATTTATTCTTCCTTGTAATATTGAAACCTTTTATTTTTGGTGTCTTATTTCCCTAATTAGAGAGCTGTAGATTAGAAAAAAATAATGATATAATAATTAAACTTCATTACGATACGTTGAAATTGCTAACTTTTTAAGTGTAGAAAGGAACAAATGTGGCATATATTAGTTTTACATTCACTTAATTTTTTAATCAGATCGATTCCAAACAACTGGATACATATATTCATCAGTAAAAAATATCAAGTGTGGCCTAAAACAGAATACAGTGTAAGATCATGAAAATAGATAAGTTAATTTGTCTAAATTAATTTATGAAATATATATATATATATATATATATATATATATATATGAACTTTCCTTTCGATCTGTTGATGAGTTACTTCTATATATTTTAGCAAACTCACATCTCTTTTGGAACATTTCATTTGATATGAATTTAACTATCATGCATAGATAAGACTTTTTTGGTATATATCTTTTTATAAGAAATAAAATAGA